AGGAGAGAGGCCTCAAACTTGCCAACACCTTGATCTTGGACTTCTAGCCTCCAGCACTGTGAGAAAATAAATTTCTGTTATTGAAGTCACCCAATCTGTGGTATTTTGTTATGGCAGCCGTAGCAAACTAATACCGTGGTTCTCTTGAGTATGTAACAATAATGTGGTGCATAAGAAAGGCCTATGCTTTGAATTATTGCATTTTGCAGGGGGCATCTTCTGATCACTCATATCATCAATTGTTAGAAATGTGAGAACTCTCCAGAAGATCAAGTACTGTGCAGTAGTTACCAGGAACAGGACTTTAGAGCCCTGGCCTTTAAGAATGTCCTGTTCACCAACCCGAAAGAAGGTAAAATACTTAAAAAAAGATCTCTCCAGACTCTCAGGATTTTCATAAATTGTTAGAGACTGATCCAGATGTACTTAAAACCTGGGAAAATGTCATTTAAAATGATGTTTAATTACTGAGAACTTTTAATAACATGAGGAAATGATTATATTATAATACTAAGTAAAAAATTCAGAATGCAAATATAATATGTATAGATAGAATCACCTTATCTGTGTAATGATATGCATAGAAGAAAGACTGAATAGAAACATAGTCAAAGTTAACATTAGTTTTTCTTTGTGGTGAGATTACGGTTAATTTTTGTTTTTTTCTTTGTACCTCTCTGTATTTCTGAATTTTCCACAGTGAGCATATATTAGTTTTATAATCACCAAATATGCTTATATTTTAAAGATTAAAAATTGGGGCAAAGGGTATATAGCCCAATCCTGGGACTGAGTCATCTCCAGGAGACACAGTTCCAGGACTCATAGATGAGATCTGAGTGCTGGTGGAACTGTGATGCCCACCTGTCCTCTGGGATTTGGCCATAGGGTGTCTCCTCACGCCTGGAAATTCAAACTATGCTCCTGAAGTGCTCTCCTGTCTACAACAGGTCTCTGAACACATCCTCCCTTCAGACCTCTAACCCCTGTCTCGGAACTTAGGCTCTTCTTTCTGGATTCAGGTGCCCACCCCTCTTTCTCCACCAAGGACTCAACCCAACCTCTCCCTTCCTCCCTCACACCTTTCTCCCAACATTTTGTACTCTGAAGCTACCCACAGTGACACACTGACACCTGTGTCCTTCATGTGCAGAGAGGCTGAAGTGTAGCAGGCACAAGATGAGAGGAGGGGGACAAGAGAAGAGAAATACTGAGGAAAATGTTTCTGAGATTTCCGTCCCTGTGGAGGTTTGACACTCCTGGTCTCTGTCTTCTCCTTCTCTTGTTCCTCCTCCTTAGATGAGGGGCTTAATCTGATTAGTGAACTGTGAAGTACACAGGGCGTGCTCAGCTCAGTTTCTCCTTTCCTCCTCTTAGGTATCCGTCTGCCCACAGTGAGGATATCAACTTGCTCTGCTCCTCTGGGGGCAGAGTCCCCTTCCTACCCTGACACCCAGTGTGAGGAGGCCTGTCCTGGTCACAAGTTACTTGTGACTGGGTGAATGAATCTACCTAATTCTAAGACTCACTCAGTATTTAGTATCCCATTATCTCTCACAATAAACAGCCTTTATCAGCAATCGAGGTCTCCATCTGCTCACTCTTTCCTCTCATTTCTCATCTTGACCAGAACCCAGGATGGGGACTGGGGAAAAGAAAGCTATCAGTGGGAACTTCTCAGAGACCTGAGAAGGAAATAACACATGCCGAGTCAACTACGTGCCCAGCATAAAGAGAGGAGCTTTACACATGTTCGTTTATTTAATCCCCACAACCACCCACAGTAGTTTACATTATTTTCTCATTTCACATAAAAGGAAACTGGGGCTCAGAGAGGTTAAGAAACTTGCCTAAGGTTTCACAGCTAGTGAGAGGCAGACGTCTCTCTGACTTCAAAGTCCAAGCACTTTCCACAGCATAAGACATTGACTTTGGGTGCCACCAAGACACTCCTCAGGGACTGAGGCAGCAGTCTTGTCTTTGTTAATACTTCATCCTAACCAACTGAGCTATCAATTAAGCAACATGCAAGGGAGGCAGAGTTGATACAACCAAAAGACAAGGAACAAGGTGGTTATAAAACTGTAGACTGAAAAACATCAAGAAATTAATTTTTCCCCAGATTTCTTGGAGACTTTTGGACAAATGACCTCTCCCAACCCCCAACTTGTGCTCTGGCTTCCTCAGTTGTAAAGTAATTCAATAATACTGAGTGCTCCTCAAGTTAGACTGCATGTCATGCTTCCCTGAGACTGGCCTCAGCACAGTTGTCCCTTTGTCCCCACTTGCCATTAAAAAACAAGTATATGTCATATTGCCATGGGTAGCACATGGAGTAAAAATAATTATAATGAATAATGAGTCAGCTTAACAATATATGAAAACCAGAAGTAGTGAACCGATGAGCAGAATATGATATTAAAGTGCCAGCTATAGGGACTGACCCTTTAAACAGACAAACTGAAAAAGATGTTTTGATCTGACCCCTGAAGGACAGTCAGCTGGCAGGCTGAAGCAGAGTCACTGAGAGGGCCAACAACTCCCCAGATGCCAGGGGACCAGGCAGCATTTCCAAGAGCTCAAACCACTGCTACTTTCTTCTCATCTTCCCAAGAAAAGCTCAGAAAGTGCAAGGGCACCCCACAGGCCACTAAGCACATTCCCAGTTGGCCTCCAGGGAAATCTGATGCTGAAAAATGGACCTTTTCCAAAATAGTGGTTCAAGCCAGATGAGGAATTGCAGAGAAGACAGCCTTCCATGGAAAATACCCTGCCTCCAAATCCCCAACGTCTTCATTAGAGAACTGAAAACACAGGCACACCAGCTGGTCTCAACTGCTTTGAAGCACTGTGGTACAGTAGAAGGAGCAATGCTGTAGGGCTGGCAACAGGAGACTAGCCTTCTAGTCCCCAGCTCTGCCAAGTTTTAGCTGGGTGACCTTGGCAAAGGTACTTAACTTCTCTGGGCCTTGCTTTCCTCATTTGTTAAATGAGGTTTGACTAGACAATGGTGTCTTCCGGTTCTGAAATCCTATCTTTTATCTTTAGATTAGCACCTTACATTTAAAAAAAACTAAAGCAAGCTCTTGGGTGTTGTGTTTCTCAGAGGTCCTGTTATTCCAGTGATCATGCCTCTCACCTTTTCAGTATTCTTCATTGGCTTCCCTTCCTCTACAAGATTAAACCTAAATTCTTCAGCATGGCATCCAAAGTTCTTTGTGATCAGCCCATGCCTATCTATCCAGCCATCCTCCCCTTACTGCCACCTATCACGTATTTTGTACTTTGGTGATACTGGACTGTTTGGACCGTGCTCCCCCCCACCCCGCCCCAATACTCTTACTGCAATATCAAACATTTATTGAGCATGTACTCTGTGTTAGACACTCATGCCAGTAAGCCTTTGTACATACTCTTCTCTTTGCTTGGACTGCCTTGTATTAATTAAGGTAGAACCCACTGCTGTAACATATAAGCTGTAAAATATCAGTAGATTAACACAATAGAAGACTACTTCTTAGTCATGTAACAGTTCAGTGTGGCAAGCAGCCTTCTACCCGGGTCCTTCCATTTTGCAGCTCTGCCATCCTCTAAGCTTTGGAGTCCTTTACTTCCAGAGCTAACAGCTGGAAAAGAAAAGGAAGAAAAGGCACACCTACTTCTTAACCTAAGCCCAGATATGATGCACATCATTTCTGCTCACATCCCATTAATGAAAACAGGTCACCTGGCCCCTCCTAGGTGTATAAGGGATTGGAAATTGGTTAGACCTCTTCCCTGAAAAATTTCACACTGAAGAAGGAGAGCACAAGTCTTTGATTGTCAACCAGTCTCATGCCCTTCCTTTGACTTGTCTACTTAGCAAAGGCTTATTCACCTTTCAAATCTCAATCCAAATGCTACCTCCTTTGTGAAGTCTTCCCTGACCTACATAGGCAAATTTAGGTCCTCCTTTTCCTATGCCTCACTGCACTTTTCACATTTCTCCATTATGACAATTATCGCAATGTACCGTATGGTTTGCATGCCAGTCTACTCAACTGGACTATGACCCTTGAGGGCAGGAATCTTGTCTTTAAACTTTTGTATTTGGAAAGCTTAGTATAGTGCCTGGTAAATAGTAGTTTTACAATGATATTTAATGAATATTATCAGTGAGTGAAAGAATGAATGAATGATTACCCTAAGGAAAAGAAGCTGGTTTTTACAGAGGAACAAAGACATCAGTTAAAAACAAAACAAAACTATTGGTGATTCAGGATTCTTCAAAATGCTAAAAAGAAAATAAGCTTCCCATACAAATGTTATAATTATAATTAATATTTTGCATTGATTTTTATTTAGAATTTGTCTCTCCCATAAGCTCCATCAGGGTAGGGATCTTATATGTATTCTTCTTTGCTCTGACCCTAGCATCTAGCATACTGTCTGACACATTGTACATATTCAATAAAAATTTCAGAATGAATGAATAGATTAAGAAATAAATGAAGACTGCACCCTTAATCCCATGAGTCATAGAATAAATGCATGGCTTGGATTATAAGAGGAAAGTGTGGATGGGGCTGTAAAAACTTACTACCACAACTTAAAAAAACATAACAGAGTTCACATCAGGACCTTACCATCATTATCTTGTACAGTCCATGTCATCATCCTCTTTATATAAGAAGAACAAACATTGGAGGAAGCTAAAACTCAATGGGAATAGTAGCCTGTGAGTAAATGAGGACAAATGGATGTCTCTAAAATGGTTGCACAATGAAATAGCCTTTGTAAATTGGTTAATGAGAGAAGCAGGAAGCAAGAGTGCAGACAATTACAGAGCTGTGACAACTGTGAAAAATACATTGATTGAGAAAAGACAAAAACATGTTTTTCATAGTTTTTAAAGAGATATAGAGACAGTTCTTTAAATGTTTATAATACATTTATTCTCCTCATAGGTCTCATGTGACAAAGTTTGGTTAAGATATTACATATAGCTTCTGGTGCATTACTTGCCAGGCTTTGTCATGGGAACCATCTGACGAGAAGGGCGATGTGCAAGTGCATCGGCAACTTCCAATCAGAACCTCTGCATGAGCTTGGTCCAGGTATCTTGGAACTCTGGGAAGTCCTAAATATAAACAAGTGAGTTCACAGTGTGGACTGATTTGTGGTGGTAACTAGATTGATGCTGATGTTGGCAGATAGACTTTTTCCAAAAACTGACCAAGACGTTAATGGTAGGTCTAGGCATTAAGTGACCTGAAAATAGGACAGTACATTTATTTTGCATACCTTTGATGATACACAAGAACAAAACAATTGGCCTACCCTGAGGAACTATCTGTCTCCCTTTACGCATAGCAGAAACTGCTATGAGCTGTGCACACAGCTAGACTATAATTCCTAGCCTCTCTTGAAGCTGAGCAGAGCCTTGTGACTCAGTTTCGGTCAATAGAATGTGGATGGAAGTGATGGGTACCAGTTCCAGGTCTGGCCCATAAAAACCTTGTGCAGTGTTAATCAGGCTCTTTTCCCACCCACTGACTAGAGAGGATTCTGAGAACCCAGAAGAAGATAGAGCCACAGGTTGGAAGAAGCCTATGTCATTGAGTTACTGCGTAGGATTGATCACCACGTTCCACACCTCTCCACCACTACCAATCCACACTGGACTGTGACAAGAACAATACATTTTTACTGGATCAAACCATTGAGATTTTGAAGTCACCATTGATAACAATTAGCCTGTCTTGAGTAATACAACCCTGTTTCCCAACTTTCCTCCTGGTCACGAGTAGGAAGAGAGACTAGGTTAAATTTCTGGAGCCTCAATGCACAGCTTTAGAGGATCAAGATAAAAGAAGGTATCAGAGACCAAACTCAACAGCAGGGAATATTGCATTGAGTAGGATTCTGGAGTTAATTTTAAAGACTTTCCCACAGAGCTGAAGCCATGCATACTAGCCTCTGCTTATCTAACCAGTCCCTGCTGGACATTTTCATACTCTTGGGAGAACAGTGAATAACCACCTCCAAACTAGTTCATATGAACCTCCAGTGCAGCCTGTTTGGTTTAATATGCTTAGAGTCTAGTCAGATAATACCACATTTAAAACCTGTCTTGTGTTGCTTTTTTTTTTTTTTTTTTTTTTTTTTTTTGCTATGCATGGTGATTAAGAAGAAGAAGAAAAAAGAAATTAGTAAGTAATTTTATGTTTGGAGATACATTTTTTAAATGATTATATAAGGTTAGGTTGAGCACAGTACTAATGGATCATTATGGGGGAGCCAAGCACTGTGGCAAAAATGAGGTCTTTGGGTGCTTGCCTGAAGATGTTATTGGGAAACTTCTGTTTACTTACAAGACTTTGAAAATTAAATCCTCCTTCAAGTAGCCTCCGGGTGTTAAGGACAATAAATAAAGACCTGCTGATTGAAAACGCTTTAAAAACAACTTGTTATAGCCTTTAAAATAACAAGGGATAAATTCAGCTTAAAATAGAATATTCCAAATTCAGTTAGCTTGCCCAACAGAAACACCAAGATTAAACCGGATTCTACATGTCTCTAAAGATGCTCCACCAAAGGAGGTTTAGCAGTGGCTTGAGACAAGGGCTCTAGAAAATGCTAGATAGCTTCCGGCTGTTAGTTGTAAACCTGAGCCCATTAATGGAAAGGGGGCAATTGATCTCCCTATCTTGGGAGTGCCTAGAGAAATGGATGAACTGGAAGATAGTCACAGACCAGGGGGAAGAGGAGGTGAGAGGTTTAGGAGAAAGTCTCTTTCCTTAGAAGAGTCCCTCTGGAGCTGAAATGGAAGAAGCTGACTTGGGACAGTACTTTTCTCTTCAGAGAAATAAATCCTATTGCCCCATTTTTAAGGGGTGCATGCTAAGCTATGATGATCCTCTAAATTTCCTAATTTCTTCCACAAACTTTATCTTCCATCTCTTTTACCAAGACTCTCCATTCCTTTTTCTTCCCTAAAATCCAAGTCTCCATAAACAGCCAGGTAGCCAGGAAGAGACTTGGTACTTCTTGAGGCTCATCACCAGAGCTGTGTCAGAATCACATGGATCAGAGGAACAGGTGGGCTCAAGGAAATGGTGCTCAGGTAGGGTTAGGAAGCCGAACATCCCCCTCAAGATAGGATCCGTTCATCAACACAAAGGATGCGTGACTTCCTTGTACATCTGCTCAGGGGATGAGCCCTCAGGACTTGACAGGAGTTCTTAAGGGGGCCTGGTGTGGCCATGCAGCACCACATTATGTGAGCGCTTCCCAATCTCTGCTCTCAATGATCAAATTCATTTTTTCTCCAAGAGCTAAATGCTTTGAAGGATTTTTATCTACTAAATAAATTACATTTGTAAAGAAAAGTTATTATTTATTAGGTATCAGGTATTATATTAATGAGTGCTTTACACACATTATCTAAAATCTTCACAGTAGTCTGAAAAATAGAAATTATTGGCCCCTTTTTACAGATGAGTAAACTGAGGTTCAGAGATGTTAAGTAAATTGCCCAAGTCTTATTGATAGAAACTAAATTCTGGTTAACTTCACCTCCACACCTGCATACTTTCCCATATACTCTCTCTATCCTATAGACAACACACACAACCAACCAGAACTTTTCTTAGTTTGAAGAAACAATCTTCACAATGAGTTGCTGTGGCATAATCTCCCCCACCTTCCAGCCCTCACACCCTCCAAAAAGGAAAGAAGCTTTCCATTATCCTGGCCTGATTCCCTGACTCCTCCTACTTCTACTACCCTCCAAAAAGAAAGAAGCTTTCCATTATTTTAGTCAACGTGTTCAGGCTTTATTGTGGGTAAATAGACAATATCTTGTAGGGTTTTTGAAGTACTGGACATGGTTCAAATAATTCCATTATTATCCTTATAGAACTTTGAGAGCCCAGAGAGCCCAGACTGGACACTGGAGCTGGCAGTTCAAATCAAAGGGAAGTCAGGCAGAGGAGAGTTCAGAGAACAGACCCAGGCACAGACCTCCTCCTCTAAGATTCTCCCACTCTTGATTGAGTATTCAGTATTGACTGAGTATTGAGTATTCAGTGACGTACCATGGGTTGATGTGAGGCAGGGAATCCTGTGGGAACACAAGATTTGGTAGTGGGAGTAGGAGGAGTCAGGGAATCAGGCCAGGATAATGAGTGAAAAGAAAATAAGGAAAAAGAAGAATGAGTGGGAAGGGAGAGGGATGAGGAGAGAGACAGAAGAAGAGGGAAGGAAGAGAAAAGAAGATAAGAACAGGTATATATAAAAAGGAACAAGAAAAGAAGAGAAAAGGAAAAGGATGGATGACCCTTTACATTGTTTGGTCTTGTAAACTACTGTTGGGGTCTTCATCACCAAAGGTAGTAACCCCCAATGGAGGGGATAAGCATGTGTTTCTGGGTCTGCTGAGCAGAGCTATTGTTGAAGAACTATTTCCTCGAAGGGACTTTCACCACTTCCCCTCCCCAACTGGAAACTATGAAGCCAGAATCTTTAAAATTTACAGAATAAATGGAGAAAAAGGATATTACTAATTCTAGTTGTAAAATGGAAATTGTTACTTCTGTACCCTAAGGTTAAGTACTGTCCTGCTATGCAGAAAATTCACAACTCCCCTATCTTTGTGCTAGCTGAAAAACAAAATGGCAAAGCAAACACAAAAAAACAAACAAGCAATAATAACCAAAAACTCCCTCTGGGTCTCCAGAAATAACAGGGCAACCTTGAGCAGAGTTTAACTGACTTGGGTATTTAATCGCTGTAAAATAAAAGGGTTTGTTTGGAAATTAAAAATAACTTATTTTCCTTAGAACCCCAAATTCTTAGTTTTAATAATGAAATCCTTTAACCTAGTTGCTTATATTTCAATGGATCTGTTAGTTTATAGTAGCTAAAAGACAAGAGGTAAATATCAAACAAAGAGAACAGACATATAGTTTTTCCTTACTCTAAAATTTAAACAGTACTCAAAAAACATCTAAAGATCTATCTATTCTGCATCCAAAGAAAGTGCTCTTCCTTAATTTTTTATTCTAGAGTCTAAAGTGGTTTGGGGTAGGGGAGAGGAGTGGAGGGTGGAGGGGAAGTTATTTTTAAATACCATAAAAGATTCTTCAGTATCTGAATTCCCAAAGTGTTCTGACTGTTTTTAATAAGTGTTAGCAAAAAGATCTATTTATCCATGGTTAAATTTTGGCTAATGACCAATTTCAGAGTACCTTCTTCTGGGCCCAGAGAAAAAGTAGTCTCTGCTAGACTTCATATTCTAGAAATTTCTGCCCTAATTGACAACCCTCAGATATAAATTTGAACTCCTGTGTCTACTCCACAAAGAAGTTAAAGCCTCAGTCTTAATCCTCTTATCCTTTATACAAGATAAAGACTGTATCCGAGGTGCCAAGCTACTCCTCAGAGCCCCTTTTTCTAAACATTCAAAGTGGGGATAATCATTTTAAAATGGTGCAAGTCAAGTCCCCATTTTTAATTTTTTTAAAATTTTTTTCTTTCTTTTTTTTTTGAGGAAGATTAGCCCCCTGAGCTAACATTCGCCACCAATCCTCCTGTTTTTGCTGAGGAAGACTGGCCCTGAGCTAACATCTGTGCCCATCTTGCTCTATTTCATATGTGTGACACCTGCCACAGCATGGCGTGATAAGCAGTTCGTAGGTTTGCACCCGGGATTTGAACCGGTGAACCCCAGGCAGCTGAGGTGGAATATGCGAACTTAACTGCTGTGCCACCGGGCTGGCCCCCAAGTCCCCATCTTTAAAAAACATTTTTTAACAGGCTGTCCTCATCTTAACCCAGTGATCAATAGTAGCCTTATCAATAGTGAGACAACCAGACATTATGTACAGCCTAATACAATGCAGTAGGAAGTACACAGCATTATCTGTGAAGAATTCTTACCAAAATGTTTAACCTGATCTTATCAAGCCTTTATATCTAACTTTCAGCTTACAAGAAATACAGAGGACAGAAGAACAAGTTTAACAACACCATGAGAAAACAATAGACAAATCCAGAAGGTGGGACATTCTACAGAACAATTAGCCCAGAATCAAGAAGTCAATGTCATGAAACTAAAATGCATGTGAGTGTGAAGAGAGGAAACAGTTCTAGATTAGGAGCCTTAAGAAACATATCAACAAAATGAAATATGTGGATCTCATTTGAATTAACTGTCTTTCAAACAAGTTTAGGGGGAGGACAAAATGGGGAGTCATTCTGAAACAGTATAGAGTTTGTTTGGGATGATGAAAAAGTTCTGGAAATAGTGGTAGCGGTTGCACAACATTGTGGATGCACTTAATGACACCAAATTGTACACTTAAAAATAGTAAAAATGGTAAATTTTACATTATGTATATTTTCCACACAATTTTAAAAAAGACATTTTGGGGACAAATGGGGAAAATTTGAATGCGGATGGGTATTACATGCTATTGGAAAATCATGTGAATCTTGTTAAGTGTGATCATGGAATTGTGCCTACCTAAGAAAGATGTGTTTATTATTTATAGATGAATGTTGAAGTATTTAGGGGTGAAATACACATATTTCTATAACTTGCTTTAAATTACTTCAGCAAAAAAAAATAAGACAAAAAGGAAAGATGAAAAATATACGGCAAAATTTTAGCAATTGTTTGATCTGGGTGATAGATATCGGATGTTCATTATACTGTTCTAACTTCTTTTCTGTATGTACCAGAATTTTGCAAAGGAGAGGGTAACCATGGACAAATCACCTCTCTGTACAACAACACAAGCTACAAATGGAGTTCTGAGCTGGAAGCATGAGTCACCCTGAGGTGCGATGATCTCTGGAAAGCCAAACTTCCCAGAGAGAAGAAGCTGGGGAGCACAGGATGCGTATTGGTGGTCACAATCATGTAAGTCTAACAGAGGTGTTACATATAAAAAAGCAGTCAAAAAGAAAGTTCCAAAGGGTGAAGAAAAAGTTTCAACCCAAAACCGGAGTGCAGGAAGTCTGCACAGAGAATCATTGCTCTCGGCTATAACTGGCTTCCCAGCTACCCCACATCCTCCCTCTGGATTTGGGCTGCTTAATCACACTAAAAGGTCAGACCGTTTCAGTTCTGGGAGCTAAACAGAGAGGAAAAGGACTGTTGTCCCCAAAGGCATCCTGTAGATCAATTCCCTTTTACAAATCAATGCACCAGAAAGCACGTCACTAGGTTGTCTGTCTTCTAGATCGTTAAGAAGTTCATCTCCATCTTATTCTTCCTGGAGAGGAGAACTTCAGCGTACCCTGACTAGAAGTGCACTCCAGCAGAGAAGGGACGACGACTTTGAAAAAAATAATCACATAAGGCACTAATAAAAGCTCTGGGAATGTGGGGCTCGCCCCGTGGCCGAGTGGTTAAGTTCACGCACTCCGCTGCAGGTGGCCCAGTGTTTCGTTGGTTCAAGTCCTGGGCGCGGACATGGCACTGCTCATCAACCCACGCTGAGGCAGCATCCCACATGCCACAACTAGCAGGACCTACAGCACAGAATATACAACTATGTACTGGGGGGCTTTGGGGAGAAAAAGGAAAAAATAAAAAAAAATCTTAAAAAAAAAAAAAGCTCTGGGAGTGTAAAGGGATGGCTCTCCCTGCCCAAAATATCCGATAACATCTGCAAAGCACCTCATTTATTCAACAGTTGTAACCTTGCTATGAAACACAAATCACTTTAATAATTCTGCAATTTCCTTCCGGGTAAAATCTTACTCGGAAATCTTGAAATGAGCAGCTTCCTCTAATGGGTCTTTGATTTGCAGGGAAGAGTAAAGCATTCTTACTTACCAAGGCATTCTGCTCAGGTTTGGTTTGACCCTATCATCTCTACCTGCATCTCTGTATCTCTGTCAGGAATCTTCCTCCAACTGAAGAGCATCTAGGAGAGGGCCATCAACCCTCTCTCTTCTCCTTCCTATTCTGCAAGAAGAGACAGTACTATCTGATTGTAGGCATAGGGCTACATCTACAGTGGGTAGGGTCCCTGGGCCTCCCCTGCCCTTCCCTCCCCTCTTCCCTTCCCTCTGTTTTCTTCTGTTTCCTCCATCTAGGTGGCCTCAGTGTTAGGAGGGCATTTCTCTCTCATGCGATGAAGTTCAGCCATTTGGTTCTCCTCTATTCTCCCAAATGCTCTTAATTGTTCTTATCATCACACCCAGTGGAGGGTAATAAAATTGCAAGATTCAGATTTGGGCTTAGGACAAGAAAAAATGCCCTCTAAATTGTCTATCTTGGCTCTGAGATCTAGGCCAGTTTACCAGAGAGCTCTGTATTAGCATTTTAGGAGCAACCTGATTAACGAAATGTTACGCTACTATTGGCTCTGTACTGTCAGGGGTAAGGGTGCAAACATAACCACAATCAATTTTGGAATACTTTATCACTCCCAAAAGAAACCTTGTACCCATTAGCAGTCACTCCCCATTTCCTCCTAACCTCCTCCATCAGACCTCAGCAATTAGAGAATTGCTACTCCATTTTCTGTCTCTATAGATGTGCTTTTCCAAACATTTCATATAAATGTAATCAGTCTTTTGTGACTGGCTTCTTTCATGTAGCATGATGTTTTTAAGGTTTACCCATGTTGTAGTACTTCATTCCTTTGTATTGCCAAATAATATCCATTGTATGGATATATCATATTTTATTCAACCATGCATTAACTGGTAGACCTTTGGGTTGCTTCTAATTTTAGGCTATTAGGAATACTGCTGCTATGACCATTCATGTACAGTTTTTGTGTGGACATGTTTTCATTTCTATTGGTTGCGTATCTAAGAGTAGAATTGCTGGATTATATTGTGGCTCTATGTTTAATCTTTTGCGGAACAGCCGGACAGATTTCCAAAGTGGTATACAGTTTTACATTCCCACCAGCAATGGATGAAGATTGCAGTTTCTCCTCATCCCCACCAACTCTCTGTCTTTTTGATCGTAGCCATCCTAGGGTGTATGAAGAGGTATCTCATTTGGATTTGACTTGCATTTCTCTGATGGCTAATGATGTTGAGCATCTTTTCATGTGCTTATTGGCCTTTCATGTATCTTCCTTAAAGGAATGTCTGTTCAAATTCTCTGTCCATTTTCAAATTGAGTTATTTGTCTTTTTATTATTGAGTTGTAAGAGTTCTTCATATATTCTAGATACAAGTTTCTTATCAGATATAGGATTTGCAAATATTTTCTCCCATTCTGTAGATTGTCTTTCACTTTCTTAGTAGTATCCTTTGAAGCATAAAAGTTTAAATTTTGGTGAATTTTAATAGTTATACCTCATATTTAGGTCAATGGTCCATCTTGAGTTAATTTTTGTGTATGGTATGGGGAGGGAGTCTATTTTTATTGTTTTGCATGTGAATATCTAATTGACTCAGCAAGACTAGAAAGACTATTCTTTCCCCCATTGAATTGTCTTGGCACCTTTGTCAAAAATCAATTGACCATAAATGTGAGGATTTATTTCTGGACTCTCTATTCCATTCTACTGCTTTATATATATATATCCTTATGCCAGTATCTCACGATCTTGATTATTGTCCTCCAATTTTGTTTTTTCAAGATTTTTCATGCTATTTTGGCTTCCATTTCCATTGGAATTTTAGGATGAGCTTGTCAATTTCTGCAAAAAAATATAAAACAATCCAGCTGGAATTTTGATAGGAATTATGTTGGATCTGTAAATCAATTTTGGCAATATTGCCATCTTAACAATATTAAGTCTTCTGATCCATGAATGTGGGATGTCTTTCCTATTTCTTGAGGTCTTCTATAATTACTTTCAAAAGTGATTTGTAGTTTTCAGAGTAAAAGTTTTGCACTCCTTTAATTAAATGTATTCCTAAGTATTTTATTTTTTTTTAAAGATTTTATTTTTTTCCTTTTTCTCCCCAAAGCCCCCCGGTACATAGTTGTATATTCTTAGTTGTGGGTCCTTCTAGTTGTGGCATGTGGGATGCTGCCTCAGCACGGCTTGATGAGCGGTGCCATGTCCGTGCCAAGGATTCGAACCTATGAAACACTGGGCCACCACAGTGGAGCGCACGAACTTAACCACTTGGTCATGGGGCTGGCCCCCAGTATTTTATTTTTTATGATGCTATTTCAATGGACTTGTTTTCTTAGTATTGGGAGGAGATTGTTCATAGCTAGTGAATAGAGATACGATTGATTTTTATATATTGGTCTTGTACCCTGAAACCTTGCTGAACTTTTTTTATTAGTCCTCATAGGTTTTTAGTGGATTCTTTAGGATTTTTTATATACAAGATCATGTCATCTACAAATAGATACTTTTTCTTCTTCTTTTCCAATCTGGATGCCTTTTATTTCAATTTCTTGCCTAATTACTCTGGATAGAATCTCCAGTACAATGTTGAATGGAAGTGGCAAGAGCAGACGTCCCTGTCTTGCTCCTGATTTAGGGGGAAAGCGTTTGATCTTTCACTGTTAAGTGTGACATTAGCTGTGAGTTTTTATAGATGCCCTTTATCAGGTTAAGGAAGTTCTGTTTTATTCCCAGTTTGTTGAGTGTTTTAATCATGAACAGAAGTTGATTTTTTTTTCAGATTTTTTTCCTGCAACTACTGAGATGATCATGTGGTTTTTGTCCTTTATTCTATTGATATGGTGTATTATATTAATTGGTTTTGGAATGTAAAACCAACTTTGCATTCCTGGGATAATTCTCATATGGTCATTGTATATAGTCATTTTTTTTCAATTTTTAAAAATTGTAGTAAAATACACATAACATAAAATTTATTATCTTAAACATTTTTAAGTCTACAGTTCAGTGGTACTAAATATATTCATAATATTGTACAAACATCACCACTATCTATCTCCATAACTCTTTTCACCTTGTAAAATTGATACTTTATATCCATTGAGTAATAAATTCCCATCCCACCCCCTGCCCTAGCAACCCACCATTCTACTTTCTGTCTCTATGATTTTTACTTCTCTGGAGACTTCCCTCATATAAGTGGAATCGTACAGTATTTGCTTTTTTGTTACCAGTTTATTTCACTTAGCATAATATGCTGAAGGTTCATCCATATTGCAGCATATTGAAGAATTTCCTTCTTTTTTAAGGCTGAGTGATATTCCATTGTATGTATATACCTCATTTTGCTTATCCATTCATTTCTTGATGGACACTTGGGTTGCTTCCATGTTTTAGCTATTGTGAAAAATGCTGCTATGAACATGATGTACAAATACCTCTTCAATACCTTGCTTTCAATTCTTTTGGGTATACTTGCTGGATCATATGGTAATTCTATATTATTTTTTCTTCTGCTTTATCTCCCCAAATCCCCCCTGGTACATTGTTGTATATCTTAGTTGCAGGTCCTTCTAGTTGTGGCATATGGGACGCCGCCTCAACATGGCCTCAGGAGCAGTGCCATGTCCGTGCCCAGGATCCAAACCCTGGGCCGCCGCAGCGGAGTGTGCGAACTTAACCACTCAGCCACGGGGCCGGCCCCCATATATATTTAATTTTTTGAGGAACCTCCATACTGTTTTCCACAGTGGCTGTAGCATTTCACATTCCCACCAACAGAGTACAAGGGTTTCAATTTTGCCATATCCTTGCCACACTTGTTTTCTATTTTTTTGATGATAGCCATTCTAATGGGTATGAAGTAGTATCTCATTGCAGTTTTGATTTGCATTTCCCTAATGATTAGGGATGTTGAGCATCTTTTCATGTGCTTATTGGCCATTTGTATATCTTCTTTGGAGAAACATCTATTCAAGTCCTTTGACTAATTTTTTATTGGGTTGTTTCTTTTTTTGTTGTTAAGTTTTAGGAGTTCTCTATATACTCTGTTATATTAATCCTTTATCAGATACATGATTTG